CCCCAAAACCCCAAAACCCCAAAACCCCAAAACCCCAAAACCCCTTGGTCACTGGATTCATTGAAATTAAGGATTGACTTTAAATAATTAATTATTTAAGATGCTTCAAAGAATAGTATCCAGAAGGGCCTATGGACTCAGAAGTTTTTCAACACATTCAAGAGTAGCAGTGATTGGTGGGGGAACAGCAGGGATGTCAGCAAGTTCTCAATTAGCTAAGAGTGGAACATTTAAGCCTCATGAGATCAGCGTTTTTGAACCAAGAGACACTCATCACTACCAACCTTCATTCACTATGATTGGAGGAGGTGTTTTGGGAACAAATGAAGCAACTGTTAAGAAGAAGGAATACTCTCATATTAAGAGGCCAATGGACTCATTATTCAACACTGGAGTCAACCTCGTCAAAGAGAAAGTGGTTTCATTAGACCCAGAAAACAACTCTTTCACTACAAATAAAGGGAAGCATACCTACGAATACCTCGTAGTTGCTCCAGGACTCAAGCTCAGATATGACCTTATTGAAGGAGCTTCAGAAGCTCTTGACGACCCAGATCACCCTGTTGTGTCCATCTACAGAGAAGACTATGCTTATAAGACCCTCAGGCACAGAGAAAAGTTTATTAAGGGAACTGCTCTCTTCTACCAACCTCCATTCCCTATCAAATGTGGTGGTGCTCCTCAAAAGATTTTGTATCTCTCAGAGTCAAGATGGAGAGAACTAGGAAGGAGAGGTAACATTGACATCCAGTACTACACAACAGCTAATGTAATGTTCCCACCTTGTCCCAAGTACTCTGAGGCCTTAGACAAAGTAAGGGCTAGCTTGAACATTCCAGTCCACTTTGAACATACTATGCTGGCCATCGATAAAAACAATAAGGAAGTCTTATTCAGAAACAACGCCAAAGATGAAGAATACACAGTAAAATATGGTAAGGATATAGATTATTTTGAGAATTAGTCTTCTGAGCTCCTTAAAAGACTTAATGAGTCACCTCAAACATTATTGTTCCACCAAATTATATCAGCCATGAAAGGATCAAGTGAAGGAATTAGATATTTAGACAATTTTCCATAACTAATGGAAGGTTTAATAAAGCTCCTTACCTCTCTATCCTAAACAAAACATCTTCATAAAAATATTCTCACCTACCTCAGCACTCTAACCTCTCAAATAAATGCTAAATCTGAATTAAATTCAAATAATTTCCCCCACCCACTAAATCAAAAAATTTGTTAAAAATCCGTATAAACCCTCCAAAATTCCCCCGAATCATTATCACACAGAGAGCTGTTAGTGCTCTAGTCAGCCCAGTCATGAAGGAAGCTTAAGTATTTAAGAGTTCCGACATGTGGGTGTACCATAAACATGTCTAATTTATATAGACTTCTTACATATCGTGCCACAGCAGACCAACCAAGATTTTGTGATTAATAGCCCTCTAGCAGGAGATGGAGGATGGACTGCAGCTGACCAAGGAACTATGCAGAGCCCTAAATTTGAAAATGTATTTACTGTTGGAGACTCTGCAGGAGTTCCTGCTTCTAAAACAGCAGCTTCTACCTTCTCTCAGATTCCTGTATTGGTCAATAACTTAGTAAAGCACGCACAAGGAGAGCCAATGAAAGGTGAATACAATGGATACGGAAGTTGCCCTCTCTTCACTGGAGACAAGAAACTCATGCTTGCTGAGTTCAAATATGGAGGAGTATCAGCGGAGACTTTCCTCAAGAGACAAGATATCCCATCTAGATTTTTCTACGAGATGAAAAAGCACGCTTTCCCATGGGTCTACTTCAATCTTGTTCCAAGGGGCCAATGGTATGGAAATAAGACTATCTTCAAACCTAGATTCTTCTAAATATTCGATATAACCAATTTTATCATCCACAATTTATTACAGTAGATTTGAGTTTACACCTCAAATGTGGTGGTTCCTTGTTAAAAGTAATACAAATTCGAGATGTGATTCATTATTATATCTCTCTAAAGGGGTTTTGGGGTTTTGGGGTTTTGGGGTTTTGGGG